TTGGGGAGGGTTTGGGTCAACCCACTATGGGTTTTGGAGAGGGTACGGGCTGAGATGTCTAGGGAGGCGTGTAGGGTCTAAAATTTACAAAACCCTCCCCAAACCCGCCCCGTTGCCATCCCTAGTTATTTCTTTTCTTTGCAAACTGGGAAATAAAAGTTGGAATAGAAGTGTAATGCATATCRGAATTAAGTGAATACTCATTTTCCTTTAACAATTTATTTTGGATTCTCTTCGGTTTTCTTTTTGAGCATCTTGGTTTTCTAAATTTTTCTGTGGTTGGTCAGTCAGAACTCACGAGGAGATTGGATAAATCTTCTGGTCTTGAAAACAACGAATCATGTGAAGGAAGTGGCTTGCTACCAAGATTAAAAATAACTCATGGAGAGCATCCTTTGAGCCTTGGAAAGACCAGCATATGGAATCAGTTTTTCCAGGTACTGTGTGAATGGTGTTTGCTTGACTAGTGACCATTGGCTCTATACTTGAAACGACTTCTGTTTTGCATATTTAGAAACTTCTTGTTGATATTAGGGTGAATCAACTATGTACTTTAACATTGACCAAGATTGTGGGCAGACATCATTTCCAGCAATAGAGGAGATTATTACCGCAGGCTTTTAGTAGTTATACTAGGAAAATATTTGAATATTTCTGCATTATTTAACCTGTTGCAGTTTTTTATTCTGTAAAGTCTATTTGGTGAACATGCTAGTCGTTTTCATTATTCAGTTGACAGTTTGCACTTGAAATTTCCTAGTTCAAAGGTCAAAGCAYCACCCAATAGTTGGATGCTCCTAGCCACATTATATGAACCTAATAGCCTCTAAAAAGAAAAGAGGATATCCATGTTGTCAAGAACAGCTTATTTAGTTGTGTGTAGGATCATTAGTTCAGTTGATATTATTTTTAAGAGTAAACATGGTTCCTGGTGTCTTAAAGGTTGTGGGCGGGCACATGATCCAGGTTTTATATCTTTTCAGTTTATATTAAATGCTAGTAGCCTATTAACATGTTATGCCCTARATGTGGGATAATGGTGCTGCTGCCATTGTTAGTGGATAAATTCAGTATTGAAAATTATTACTATATGAATTATCACATCCCAACTCCCATGTTTGCAGGACACTGAGATCATTGAGCAGATTGACAGGGATGTGAAACGCACTCACCCAGACATGCACTTCTTCTCTGGGGATTCATCATTTGCAAGGTCTAATCAGGTGAGCTGTTGTTATTGACCATGAGATTAATCATAGTCATGATTATTCCGCCCAAGATAAAATGTTCCCCTTTCATATTTTCAGGAGGCTTTGAAAAATATATTGATTGTATTTGCAAAGTTAAATCCGGGTATAAGATATGTACAAGGGATGAACGAAGTTTTGGCACCTCTGTTCTATGTAATCAGAAATGATCCGGATGAGGAAAATGCAGTAAGCAAATCTTGTTTTTGCCCTTAAAAATTTCTTGTATTTTTAACTTGAATATTCAGTTTATTACTTCATTTTGTGGAGATACAACTCCAATCATACACRAGAACTTTTTTTGTCATGTGATTTTTTTCTCTTCTTGTTTTATTTATTGGTGAAGTAGATTTTTCAACAAGCAAATGATAATCCTCTTTTATTCAAAGTCTTATATTGTTGTTCAACAATTTCAATGGAGTTCCTTTTTTGTGTTCTTGCTTCTTATTTTCTTTA